GGGGGGGGGGGGGGGGTGGTTACTGCCATATATGAGCTATGTGCTGCAGGATAGGGTAGGGTTTTTGAGATTCTCGATCCTTAAATAGTGTATCATTTTTGCCCCTGTTGGGATTGTGTTCCCAGTGTGATTCTTATATAGGGTACCAAAGTTGTATCAGCTAAAATTGCAGTGCATAAATGCCCACTGCCTGTCTAGCCAAGTCTCTAATAAAAGTTTAACATCCTTCCAAACTTTCTAAGGAGGTTTGTACTTCAGCAGTCATTAGCACCTAGTGCATCAGTGATGTCAGATATAGATTCAATGCCAAGTCACCACCTTCTTTATTGGCATTGAAAGTTCCACTGCATGAAGGACACTTTGCTCCCAGTAGATGGCCAGAGTAATCCACCACTTTTGATTCAACAGTGCACAATGGACACTTGTATTTGGCTGTCTGTATTCCTTGCAGTGATCTCACCAATTTGGCAGCAACTTCAGCACCATTTTGGTCATGGGCTTTCTTTTCTTCCTCACTCAAACTGGCCAAAGTCCAGAACACATCAAAGAATTTTAGGCCTGGTAGGACATCTGCATTCTGCACCCTGAAGAACCCATTGTCTGCCCACTTATGCCCCCATGAATTCATCAGACGCAAGCTCTCAGCATCATAACTTGTGAGAACTACTGCATGGCCACTAGGCTTTGTCGTTGAGTGATGCTTTGAATCAAGATAGGATCTTGTAAGGATTCCTTTCCGATTCTCTTTGTAGAATTGAGAGAACTGATCCCACTGGGCTCCACTCAGATAAAATATGGCAACCACTGGTCTTTTAGCAGAAACCGCCTTCATAGCACCAACAGCATCTACCTCTTTGCATCGCAGACGATACTTTGGACAAACTTCTTTGAGAACTTTCATGGTAGGAGCTCCATCCTCTCCATATTTAGCAATCAATTCACTCCTCAATTCAAAGAAATCTGGGTAACCACCATCTCGTCCTTTTATGCGCWTCATGGCAAGGTGTAAAACAGCAGCAGATGCATTTGCATAACAGGTTCCTCCATGTTGTCTCTTTGCTCCAAACCTATCATTTGACTTGTTAATGTAAAGATCCAGATCAACTGTAGAGAGCATATCTGAAAGGGCATCTTGGCTCAGGACACCCTTCTTGGCCATGTCACAGACATCTTTGATAAGGTCTGGATGGTTCACTTGAAAAAAGAGTCTGGTTTCATTGTTGTCAATATCTATCTTCCATTCTCTCTTCAAAAACAGAGTACGTGGTATCTTCTGAGTTGTGATGGTGGAGCTCATTTTGAACATGGTCTTAGCTGGCTTTTCCCAACTTTCATCAAGAATGCTGTACAGATGACGAGGATCAGCTAGCAGTTGGTCTGTTATGAAACAACTCACTGTGGTGACCCCCAGATTTGACAAATTTTGAGGTGGGTCATTTCCATCAGCTGGCTGACCATCTGAAAGAATGAATAGGAGTTTCTGATGATTGGCAAATTCTGGGTAGGAAAACAGATCCACTGAATGGCCCATGGCTTGTATGAGTGGAGTCCCTCCATAAATGCAAGGCTCAACTGTTTTCAGCAACTCGTCAACCCGTTCATTAGTTAGTTCTTGATCACCAATGCTGGCATGCAGTATTTCTGATGCATCAGGAACACTCATAACAGCAGCTCTGCTGACACCCACCTTCATTTCAGCAGCAATAAGTCTTTTCCCCTTCTCAATTGCTTCTTTGACTGAGTCTTCTGTGCCCCACGATTGCAAAGAGGAACCATAAATTGGAACATATCCTGATGTAAAATATGCAGCTTCAATGGCAACATCACGAATGCTATTTACCGATAATTCACGACACTCTCTAGGAAGACACTCGTGAACAAACTTTTTTGGAAAATCACAGGTTTTTCGTAAATAGTGCAACATTGCAGCAGCAGTAGTATCATCAACAACTTTGAGCAAAACATCCATCTTTCCCCAATGACGAACCCTTGGTGCTCCATTTCTTTCAAGAATAGCCAATGCTTCATCTATCACGTCCCTCTTGCTTGCCCTAGATGTTATTTCTTCAATGGAGACTCGTTCCTGATTTGCTTTACTGACAGTGCTTAACAAATCAAAGACTTCAGGATGAAAAGGACTACCAAAAGCTAAAGCAAAGGTCTGGTTTGAAGACGAGACATCATGCTTGATCAATTCATCCACCACTTTGAAGATTGACTTTGCCCATCTTCCACCTTCCTCCTCCACTCTGCCACCAACACTATTTTTCATGGAGCCAGAGACATCCACCAGAATGCCTATCATGGTAGACATTGTTCTGAATCTTGAAAAAAAAAAACATGTAAGATTATTATGGGAAAAACATTATCATGGCTTTAATCCTAATTACAGTGAAACTAGTTTTTGCAAGCAAGGAATTTTAAACTCTGATGCTAAGGATAAAAGATATCTAATAAATCATGGAGAACTCAGGAACAGAAAAGTGAAGAAAACAAAACCAAAAAAAAAAACAACACATAATGTTTTATATACAAGCAAAACATGATAATGTGAAAATAAAATGAACCTTGAAAAACCTCAAAACTACACCAGACAACAAGACTAAGAAAATCACAAAAAATGAATATAAAAATCACCAAATGAAAAAGACATCGACTTCAAGATATGTACAAGTTCGAAATAGTTTACAGAGAAATAGGAAAACACTATTATTGCCTAAGAACCTGTTGATCCTAATTTCCATTTTAATTCCAAGAAAGAAAGGATAATGAAAATTACTGATTTCTGAACATCTTAATGCCTTTTACAAAGAAAAACGCAAAAACAAATGAAACAGTTTCCAAAAGAAAATGGATGCAGCCAAATGTATCATGGAGCAAAATCAAAGTAAAAAACAGTACTGTTAGTCTGAAACAGAGTTTGATAAGTTTTTCCAATTCCTGGAAAAAAGGATGTTTAAAGTTCCAACTCTACTCTGGGCAGGTATCTAGAACTTTATGCCTGTCTAGTGGAACTTTTCCTGCACAATAATTTTAGCATGCAATTGTACATGAAATGTATAATCAGTTACATTCGACAAACTATGTGTACATCCAGTCACTTAATGTTCTTAAACTACTTGCAACTGACCAAAATAGAAGACTATCAGTATGACCCTGCCACTATGCAACAATCTTTGTTTTCTTGGTTTCTTGGAAAGAAGGGAAGTTAAATAAAAGGACATTACAATTACTGACTTTTTGCAATTGTTCAGGCGAAAAGCTTCATTTCATTGCAGACTTATATATGCAATGGAGTAAAGGTGGTTGGACGGTGCAAAGAGATCCAATTTTATTTCCAACTTTTAAAACTGTTCAAGGTTTAAACATGTGCGAAGTAACCAACTAAGTGTAGCGTAATGCATCAAAGCATTTGTAAAAGTGTAGATTTGTTAACTGAAAAAGCAGTCAAATACAACCAAACAATTTGCTTCTAGAAGGGCTGCAGTTTTCTATTAGCGATGAGACCTTCAAGTCAAAGAAGGATAATACTGATGTTTAATGCCCATGAATAGTTACCTCTTTGATTGAAAGAAGCTCTGGGTGCTGGTAAGCACCCAGAGCACAATGGTGAGCACAACGGTAAGGCGAAAAGCTTCTTTTCATTGTGGATTTAGCTGATATGCAACAGAGTAAACAGGGTTGGAAGGTGAAAATTTAAGAGATCCAATTTTACTCGTAACTTTTAAAACTGCTCCAGGTTTAAATCTGCATGAAGTAACCAACTAAGTGCAACATAATACATCAAAGCATTTGTAAAAGTGTTGAATTGTTAACTGAAAAAGCAGTCAAATACAACCTAACATTTTGCTTCAAGAAGGGCAGCAGTTTTCCTTCAAGTCAAAGAAGGATAACACTGATGTTTAACGCCCATGAATAGTTACTTCCTTGATTGAAAGAAGCTCTGGATTCTGGTAAGCACAATGGTAAGAAATTGCATGTTCCATGAAGCTTAACCACATAATATTTTAAAAGCAAGTAAGAGTGGATTTTAGTCACAGATGAAGTCAATATCAGGTTGTGATAAAAATGCTGAAACAATCACTTCAGTTGCTTTCCAACTCAATTGGAGTCAAAAGCGAAAACTTTAACTTCTGCTTTCCATCCGTAAACTTAATTTCCAAGGTGATATAAAATGTGTTTTGCTCACTGCTATATGCATTCCAGAACACCTACGTTTGTACTTGCTTACCTGGAAAATGTATAAAGGCCTAAAAGCCGAGAAAGATATCTTAATACTCTTCTGGTGTTTTGCAGAGTTGATTATGTTGCCTGGTTGTGTTGATCACAACTCAATGTACCATGGCGTTGACAGAAGGCTGGACACCAGTCACATGTCAATAGACCAATTTCAATATATTAAAATTCTGCCTAAAACAATAGACCTCAGCATGAGGATCTGGGGAATAACAACAGAATTTGTGTGGTTTATTCCCCCCGAAGCCTCATGATAAGGTCTATTGTTTTCGGCTGAATTTTCATTTATTGAAATTGCGCTGTTGGTTATTTCTGATCGCTGGGAGATAATTCTCCTCTTGCTGACTGGTAAGTATTGTCAGGTATGGTTTCAGACAAAATCATAACTGGTCTCCCTCAATCAGTCAGAAAAATACTCTTCGATCGCTTCGCCTTCCAAAAACCATCATCACCCTGTAGTTTTCACATTATAAAACCTTGTAACCACTTTCCGATCTCAGACATTATTTTTTTTGACAGGAACTCTTTGTAAATAAACCTTGCCTGGAAACCACACAGCTAAACGATGCGAAAAATCGACAGCCTCAAATTTGCATACTAATTAATCACATGTAAAGCTATTTTCAGTGTTGCTCTTTTGATTGGAGGAGCGGGCATGGAAGAATGCCTGCTGTTACAAGTTTGAGACAGGTTTTTTTTCCAGCGTATACACGGCCGAATTCATTGTGTTGAAGATGAGAAAAATTATCATACACAGCTGTGTTATGAAAGGATATTGTATCTTAATTGTGCCAGTCTTCCAGACTTCAATCTCTCCCTAATACATTTCCGCCAAATCCTTTTATATTTTTGCCTCCCCTTGGTACTCTCATTGGAAGCTTCTTTTTTACCAAACATATTGGCTTCTTTACTGAAACCCATAATTCTGGTACACAGTACGGTAATCTTTACATTCTTTTATTTAGGAAAATTGCACATATGGTTGGTATTGCACATTTATAGTACGTGTACCTTTGTTGGATATTGTTTTAAAAAAATATTCTGCTCTTTGTTTATTATTATATTAAATCTTCTCACTTTCTATAGAAATTGATCTTTTTAGTTTGGAGCAATCAGGTGCTTTATAATTTTCATTGCTAAATATAGCAACAGATGAAGTTGAATGTAGAAGAGCTGTCTGGTTTTGTAGCCTAAGGCTGCAAGTCTGCACATGCAGCTTTGAGCCACACGTCAATTAAAGTCGGTTGAATTTCAAGTTTGCTTGCACAAACAGAACAGGTTAAATTAGTAATTATAAAACTACAGGGCAACAGCCATTTTTTGAGAGGAAAAATGAGCGAAGTGTGGTTTTGTGACTGATGCACTCATGTCCAATACACCCGATCTGTAACGGGTCGGAAAAGGGGTGACGGTTCGCCGGGTTGTTACGAACCGTCACAAATCGTCACCAACTGTCTTGACCGTCACACCAGAAGTCATGTCGTGAAAAGGGATAGCAGAAATAAACAGCCGAATGAAGTGTGTGAATATTCCTCATTCTAAAAAAAAGCCGCCACAAACATTTGCACAAGTGTAAAGAACGACGCATCCTAATGATGAGTCTCTCACGAACTGACAAACGGTCACGAATCGTCACCATCCTTCCTGGTCTTGAAGATCCACCGACATGTCGCAAACTGCACAAACGGTGACGGGTTGTTGTGATCCGTCCTGATCAGGACGATCCGCCGACATTTTCACCTCCCTCCATAATATGCCATAAATTTTACCCAAGTCTCTTGCAAACGGACAAACTGTCACGAATCGTCACCATCCATCACTGGTCGTCGCGATCTGCCGACAATTTCAGCCCCCTTCATAGTGCAAACAGGATTTTTTTTCAAGTCCCTCGCGACCTGGCAAACTGTCAAGGGTTGCTACCATCTGTCCCATACATAATGATCTGCTGACAAGTCGCAAAATGATCAACGGTGACGGGCCGTCACCAGTTTGGCGACCCGCTACGGATCGGGTGTATTGGACAACCCTCGACTGATGGAGACACCGTTAATTTGTTTGCTTTCTTTGTGGTTTTATTGTGCATCTGATTAGTGGTTACACAATCAACATGTCAAAACCAAATCAAGGTAATTGTGGCTTTTTGACTTTCACAATAAACAATGATTTTTAGCGGAGTTTTTCTGATTTGTGATATGGAAACTTTTCAAATATTTCCGGAAGACTCCATACTGACAAGTTAAACCCCAAAGAGGACTTTGAGGTGACAAAGTCAGTCTTTCAATTTGAAACAGATTCCATTGGGTGGTTTAAAAATATGAACATAAACTCATTCCTCATAAAGTGACAAACGTTTCTCCATAACCTATGTTTTTTTGCCCCCAAAAGGCTCTCAGGCATTGGAAAGGGTTATTTGAGCTTCCCAAACTCTTCAGATTTTGTGGCAAAATTAAATTCACAAAAAAATAGCTCTTGCACACCTTGCATGCCTACATTTTCTTATAAGAGTCTCCCAATTATTTTTGAGTTATTTTTTTGGTAAAAAAAAAATACCTCTTAGTCGGCGCGTCAGGTATGTTACGGACGGGTCAATGGATGAGTGAGTGAGTGAGTGAGTGAGTGAGTGAGTGAGTGAGTGAGTGAGTGAGTGA